TTTTTCTAAATAATACTTGTGATTTTTTACATCCAAGAATATTAATAAAAAAGAGCAAATAATAAATGGAATGATTATATTGATTATGTGCTGTCAGCTTCGCCTCCTAATGATCACATAGAAAGATTTTCTCCATGACTACTGTGTTTCCCTGAAAATAAACCCCACCCCCCAAAAAAGACCTATCCTGATTTTTTGGAGTGAGCCTAATATAAGCCCTATTCCAAAAATAAGCCCTAATTAGGACCCCGCTCACGCTGTCCCACCTGGCTACCGCAATGGAGCAGGAGGCTGCACGGCACATTGCACCGCTACTGCCACAATGATGTGAGGCAGGTGGGGGAGGGGTGGAGCTGCCCCATGCACCCCGCACCTGCTTCTTTCAGGTCCCCCCACCAGCCAGGCCATTCCTTAGTCTCTTTCACTCCCCTCCTGAGCTGCACTGCCATGCTACCCTATAGAGGATGGGCAGGGTAGGCCTGGTCCTCCTCCACCATTTCGGAGCTAGGGGGAGTGACAGCGAAAGGCTCTGCTGCCACTGTGCACTGCTGGAGGGGCTTTCTTCACGCTCTGCCCCACAAATCACCTGTCCAGCGGCAGCAGTCACCTCCTTCTCCTCCGCCAATTCTCCCATAACTTGCACAAGCCTCCCCCACCACCTCCCTCTGCCAGCCCTCCATCACCGCCACTTGAGAGAATAGAATGGAAAGCAGAGCAGCTCTGCGCAGTGATGCAGAGCAGAGAAGAGCACTTGCTTGCTGCCCTGCATCGTCACGCATCTCCCTTCTCTGTTCTCAAAATGGCAGACCCATTTCCTGCCGCTTCTCCTCCCAAAAGCAAAAAAATTCTTCACTAAACTGCTTTCAGCTCTGGTGCGTTTCTCTCCTGCTGCAGGGAAACAGAGTTTGTAGGACTAAAAAAAGTTCAGTCAGACCTTCCAACTTCTCACAAAAAAAAAAGATCTCACAAGAAGTTGAAAGGTTTGAGTGAACTTTTTTTAGTCCCACGAACTTCATTTCAGCAGGAGGGGGACCAGGCCTACCCCACTCATCCTCCGTAGGGTAGCATGGCAGTCTGGCTCGGGAGGGGAGTGAAAGGGAGCAAGGAATGGCCTGGCTCGGGGGACCTGAAGGAAGCAGGTGCGAGGTGCGTGGGATAGCTCCACCCTCTTCCCCACCTGCCTTGCATCATTGTGGCGGCAGTGGTGCAATGTGCCACACAGCCTCCTGCCACGAGCAGCTGCAGCAGAAGTGGGCCAACAGCCATGCGTGCTCCTGCTGGATGGGCTGTTGGTGCAACTGCCACGACGTGAGGCAGATGTCACGAAAAATATAAGACACTGCCCGAAAATAAGACCTAATGCCTCTTTTGGAGGCAAAAATAATATAAGACCGGGGTCTTACTTTTGGGGAAACATTGTATTTATCCCTAACCTGATCTTGTGTACTCATTGCTGCTGTAGCTGAGACATCCACTTTGTTGCTAGTTGTTCTTATCTTTCCTTCCACCTTTACCAGCATTAAATCCTTTTCCAGAGGGCTAGATTTTCTAATAATTATGGTTTGAGCCCACTTATTTGTGCTTTCAGTGAGAATGCTGAGTTGATTTATTCAATAATCCATTTGTTAGTTTTCTTGGCTGTCCATGGTATTCTCAGAAGTCTTCTTCAACACCAGTGTTCAAAAGCATAATTCCTCTTCCCTCCAGAATCCAAATTTTGCTTCCATAGAGTGTCACAGGGAATACTGTGGCTTGCATCATTCTGATATTTCTAGATATACAGACATCACAGCATTTGCATATCTTTTTCAAGGTCTTCATACCAAGTGGTAGTGTGGGGAAAATGTTACCGTTCATAACATGAGAATGGACAAACACCAGATTCCCTTTTTTTCCTGTCCATATTTAAAGCAGCGAACAGTCTCCTCTGGTTAGCATGTCAACTGAACAGGACTAGAAGTCTACAATATATTTATCTGGAAATAAAAATTACTGCAGGATAAGCATACATTCATTTTCTTGTGATTGCAGCTTAGCATACTAGTTTCTATTAAGTAGATGAAAAAAAATAGTCCAATATCCTCAAGATTTCTTCCCAGTTAATGGACCATAATGGTCAGGGCTTTTTTTCTCATAGAACGCCCAGAATGGAGTTTCAGCACCTTTTTTGGATGGAACCTTGTAGGGTAGACAAGGCAAGCTGTATGAAGTGTGTGAGTTCCGGCACCTTTTTTTTTTTTTTTTTTTTTTTTTTTACAAAAAAAGCACTGATAATGGTAAAAAGATCCAACCATAACAAAGCAGTAGTCCCTGTGAATTTAACTGATAGTAAGAGCTCTCTGCTCAACATTATCAACAGGGTGTCATTCAGTATGGAATTAAATAAAAAGGGGTTAATTAGGCAATGCATGATACATAAGAGAGTTTAAGAATGGCCTGCTCCTGAGTGATTAATTAACATCTGGAAATATTTGAATGCCAGCATTAATAGGGAAAATTAACAATGATTAACCAGATTAACATGACCAAACCAATTGAAATTACAATTCTATACTTATTTAATCTAGGTACTGCCTTCCTTTTGAATAAATATACTTAGGAATTAATGTAATTCTTAATCACTTATTCATAAAAAATGTGTCCATCATTATGCTCCATTTTTATATAGTGCTGGATCAGCTATCCTTACAGATCGACTCTCTCACACACACTCACAGTCCTGGTCAATAGCTGAGAAGTAATTAGGGACACACTCAATTCATTTTCAATCAAACATTGAAACATAATAGGTTCTTTGCAATATATGGAGACCCGTGAATTTAAAGTAACAGCAAAACTTTACTGATTACAATCTACACCTACTCTTTCCCACATGCAAATATACACTCATCAACACTTACCAACTTCATTGTTAATTAGGCTGCCAGGCATTAGCTACAGGGATAGAAGATGCCAAATCTGAATCCAAAACAACTCAAAAAGTGGCCAAGCTTTAGGATCTCTTTTATGCTTGTTTTGTCAATTCACAAGGCTGGCACTAAACTTGTCTTGTTGATTTTCAAGTCAGACTTTTGCTGGGATTTATAGGGGAGGGGAGGTTCCATGCGCTCAGGCCCAATTTCTTTTGTCTGGTTCAGGTAACATTCTTTCCATTGTTTCCTTAAGGACTTGGCTTCTTCTTAACTACCTTCCTGAAGGGGTCTTGTAGACACAATTCTTGCTTACATGCCTGCTTCATCTGTAGGTATAGCAACTTCAGCCTAGTCTCATACTATCCTCTATTGGGAAAATATATAATTCAACTCAGTGTGGTTTACTTCCTGAGTTCAAAGATATTGGATTATTTCTGGAATTAGGGGGAGTTCAAACCTTCAAGCCAACCGAGAGGTTCACTAGATGAGCCTGAATAAATTAGACTAGCCTATTTTATAAGAAATTTACTAGATTAAAATGGGAATCCAGACCATAAACTGTGGCTTACTTCTGTAGTTGGTATGTAAGTTTCAAGAAATAATGGGTGTTCTGTTCTCAGTTGTTAAATATCAATTTAAAACTTGTGTGTGACAAATCCTCATGTTACAAATAATTGATATATTGTAACTTATTTAATGAATTTGTATTGTGTTTCTCTGCCAAAGGCATTCAAAATCACCACCCTGCTTTACTAATAACTACACATTCCTTTACTAATGAATAGACATGAATAATATTGTCCTATAGGGGCAACATTGTCACATACCTCTCAAGCTTCGAAAGGTACTGTCTTTAGAAGTACCATAGTGCTTCTAGCTTGTCTATAGATATGGGGGCGCGCGGAGGGGAGCATTTGGGACCACAGGTACTCCCTATCAGTGTGAGAACCAAAGCCGCTAAAAAGATGTTTTGGCAAACCAAAGTTTCTTCTCATAACAATTGCCAAAAATTAATTGGACAATGTGACCTGAACTGTCAGAGAGGAGAGGGAAAGTTTTACTCTTTTAATTATCTGTTTCCTGCCATATTCTCAGAGCTAGCTTTCCTAGCCAAGCATGCATTCTGATGCAAATACTGTACACCAAGTCAATAATTGTAGGTGCAGAATTTATGAAGGTTACAATAAGGCAGAGCTTATATCGATGAGAGTGTGTGTATTCTTTATTTTCCCATTTGGTTTATAGAATGTCATGTGCTGCTCTATAGTATAGCATTAGAGCTCTGTTTTCAGTTGCTGAGTGGGAAGTAACTTTTTTACTTCTGGATCAGACTTCTCTAAAGGGGAAATATGATACAACTCAAGGAGAGTGCAAGATAGCTAGAATGTGCCTCTCTAAATATATATTTTCTTTTATAACAACAACAGCTTTTGGTTTAACCAAATTACTGATATTGTACTATAATTTCTTATTTGGTATTATACATGTATACATGTGGGTTTTAGTAATTTAGTTTTTTTAAGTCATTTATTACAAGTCAATAAAAATACTTTCCAGTTTTATTACTACTAAAATCAAGCTTTAATTAAGACATCACTAGTAAAGAATGCATTTATTCCTAACTTCCACATCAGAAAATTGCAGAAAACACCAGGGGGCATATTGTCCTTTTGATGATGCACCTAATAGAAATTGTTCATGAGCACTGAAAGTAAAATATAACTGCTGTAGCTCTGAATGGTAATGGCATTTACTTCCCGTGAAAGATAGCTTTTCTTCTAAAGCATTGGAGATATTATCGTGAAGTCGTTTCTTCTTTTGGTTATGAAAAATTTAAAAACAAAAACGCTGCAGTAACATTAGTAGAGCTCTTGCTAGTGTGTTATTTCAATCCAGAGATGTTCCGTTGAAGCTTATACAATATTAGGTGAAGAGACCTTTAGGAAGAAAAATGGTATGCATTTTGAAATAAATATTATCTTTTTATTTGGAACAACCTAACTAAATCTAAGATTATTAGAAAGTTGATTCTGGAAGTTCAATTCATAACCAAGACTTATCTTCAGTTTTTCTTCTTCTCTCCACCAGGATTACACATTAACAATGTATTTTCAACAATACTGGCGAGATAAAAGACTAGCCTATGCTGGGATTCCTCTCAACCTTACGCTTGATAACAGAGTAGCAGATCAACTGTGGGTGCCTGATACTTACTTTCTCAATGACAAGAAATCGTTTGTGCATGGTGTTACTGTTAAGAATCGAATGATTCGCCTGCATCCAGATGGCACAGTATTATATAGCCTCAGGTTTGTAGCTATGTAATCAAGAATTATGCATTCTTGTATGTTATATTGATCATCACTGGGGGGGATTGGTGCAAGATTGTTACATTAAATACTAAATTAGATCATAATATGCATAACATATTATGCATTTCATTGCTTTTAAAACAGATGTCTCTAAACTAAGTAGCATTGTCAATGTTTTATTTTTCAATTGCCAATGAATTTATTGTTCAGAATAGAAGTTATACAGGAGCTGAAAATTTTAAATCAAGAATGAAATTTCTTTGGTGTAAGCTTTGCCTGTAAATTCTAATTTTCCAATTTGTGGACAGTAAAGCAAAGGCTCTGTCCATGTTTGTAACCATGTTTCTCAGATTTTCTATTGAAACAAATTAGACATAGAGAACTACACACAAAAAAATCACTTTCTTTTTCTAAGCATAGAGAGAAAAATTGTGTCCCTATCTGGTTTCTATTTATTTTATTTATTTATTTATTTATTAATTGTATTTATATCCCGCCCTTCTCCTTTCGGACTCAGGGCGGCTGACAAATGATAAAAAGCTAACATATTACACCTAGTTAAAATTTGATTAAAATGAAATATTTGAGAATGTCAAATTTAAAAGTAATTAAAACCCCTATAAAATCCCCTAGGCCAGTCCCGCTTGC